TTTTGAGCACTTGCTTTATTAAACTAAATTCATTTTTTTAATCTTTTTTACAAGAACATGTCTTTAACCAATGTCCTTTTATATTTATTATTTAATGTCTAATTCATGAGTCTGATCTTTTTACTTCTCCCTAGAATAGGGCAGAGTTACTTAGAAAGATTAGATTTATAAGTTAACTTAGAAAGAACTCTAACTTTACTCATGAATCTATAGGGTAGGAATTTATTTGGCATGTTCAGAGTTTGAAAAAACTTTGTATAAAATTTAGCCAGGAATATATTCATGTGTTGGACACCCAGAAACTCTTGCAACATTAGCTTGAATTGACTTCAAAAAAGCCAAACTTTAATGCTGTAGATAGGTTTTGCCATCCAGCAAGCTTGATGCATCGGACCAGGTACTTGGAAATTCTTCCTTTCAGATGGCTTCCCCAAAAAAATAGCATCAGATTGAGCATCTTGCGATAGTCATCTCGTTGCTGATGATCTTGCAGCTGTTCACAGAAAAGTATATTTTTATCTTTGACATGAGAGACTTCAGCTGAGACATCCTCTGAAAAGGCATCTTCATAACTGTTTTGATCAATGGATGGCCACTGTGCTTGTAATCATTTGAAGATGAGAATTTCTAGAGCTTTACTTGGTCCCATACATACACCAAAAGCAGCAGCCAATACAAATTTCAGTATGTGATGGTGACAACCTAAATGGAGTAGAAGCTGCCCCAGTAGCTGTTCAAGAAGGGTGCAAGCACCAGACAATCAACCAATGTTGGAGCTGGTTTTATTGAAACGCATACCACAGACTAATTTGTTCAACTCCCTATTTCTTAAGGCATTATGTACTGCTTGTGCCTCTGGTTGACCAGTATCTCCAAAGCAAAGATCCTTAGCAAATATATTATATTTAATATAAAAACATGTTTATTTGATAGTACCTGCAGGAGTTTTTAGAATATCTAAAAGGTTTGTACACCCCATTGTTGTGACAGGAATCGGCAAACTGTCGACCTTCTCTGTTCCAGTCAGATCAATCATCAGTTTGCCAACCCAGTGCACTGTAAGAGGCATGTATAGCTTGAAATCTTTAATTATTCTGAAAGTGGCTTCCTGTCTGTGTTTTTGACATGGATGATTGATCTATTTAGAGCAAGTGATTCACAAGGTGTCAACCAGCCTGATGGCACCACGTATAACGCGGTATTCCCAATTGGTTTCAAATTCCCAAAGGTTCATAAAATCATACTAAAAAAAAAATTAAATCAGTCTCAGATTTTAAGTGTTGCGCTAGACAAGTAAAAAACGCAATTAGAAGCATGACAAAAAAATGAATTAATTGATTTTTTTAATGTGTAAAAACGTGTCGTCATTAACAAGCGTCCATTCATTAACATGATCATTCGTTCAAAAGTTTAAAAAAACTTTTTATTTTAAGTTTTATTGACGTCAGTTAATCTTGAGTTAAGATTTTTTAAAGTTTAATAAATTATTTTATTAATTTATTTTTATTATTCAAAAACTTTTTATTTATGTTTTTTCTGTTTATCTTAAGTTAGTAAAGTTACAAAGAAATTTGCATAATAATAAATATTATACTTTAAAATTAGTTAATAACGTTTTTGTAATAAAAGATTTATTAATACTCTCAGTAAATTAAATTAGCAGGTAAAGTAAATTGAAAATAACAACAAAAATAATCAAAAATAAAACTTGCAATGAAATGTATTATCTATGTTATATTTACGTAAAATGTAAAAGAAGATAATTAAATAATATTATAATATTAATTATTAACCAATATTTATAAATACAAAATTCTTTTTTTAATTTACTAATACAAACTTTATGTAGAAATTTAATGAATTTAATGTAAATTGAAATAATAATAATAATAATGATAGTAATAATTTTGTATTTAAATACATTTTTTTTATTTACATACTTAATTTACTAGATATTTAAAATACGCCAATTAAGTTCAGTTGCTGCCCTCGTGTGGTGAAAGAATCTCGCTTTGCCCCCTATATGTTTTTGTTTTAAATTAAAGTAACATATTGCAACAAAAGTTCTTTTAACAAACATATTTAACGGAAATTGGCGAGCCAACCAAGTTTTTCAATTAAAAGTTGTTAAGATTACGAAAACTTTCATTTAATTTTCATTTAAAAGCTATTGATTTAAATAAGTTTTTAAACTGTTAAATTTATCTAATGATAAAAATTATAATATAAAATATGATGAACAAGTTAGGAGTAGAAAATACTTTGTCTACTCCAAACTTGCAACCAGGTCATCCTTTCTTTCCTTTCTTTTGCTGATATTTTAGGAAAAACTTGTCTTCTTCATTTACAATAAGCTCCATGGCTTCAGAATGTGCGATGTAAAACAATTCCTCAACTGTGGCTGAAAATAGTTTCGTTTGCTTTTTGTCTGTTGCGGTCTGGCAGCTCTTGTTCTTTTCAAGACCCTTCCACTCATAATAATTGCTCAAGTTTTTTATTGAATCCTGGCAATGTTTGATCAGATTTTTTGCTTGGAACGAAAAACTCTACACTCTCTCAATAGTGCGGTTTGCTACTTTTTGGACATCTTTATTCAGAACATTGAATGATGCAGAAATTGTCTGAGAACTTCCTTCCCTGACCTAATTTGCTACCTTCAATCCCCTCTGCAGGATTAACGAGGTAAACTTGAGACGGTAAAGCCATCTGAAAATGAAAAATTGTCTTGAAATTAGATATTTGTTATTGTTGATAATTAATTATTTGTTGATTGGTGCAGTATGTTGTGGATAATGACTTCCATCAGGGATTTGAATGTCCCTGCCCAACAGAGCTGGTCCCATGTCACTTATGATTAAATTGGGTAACGGTTTCCTCAAATTGAGGTTTACAGGCAGGGTATCCGAGTAAGTTACTGTTTCAATTATTTCTCCTTAAAGGGGAAGACCTGGCTAACCCAATTGTATTTGGAAAACATGCTAAAAGATTAAGTGGTAGTTGGAGTAGCAGTTAATAAAACAAAATAAAAGATAATTATAAAATATACTATAATTACATTATAGTTTTCCTCATTCTTAGTTTTTATACTTTATTACAACAGTGCTCAAAATGCAATAAAATTTTTTTACATTTTACATAACATACAAAATTACAAACTCATAATCTATAAAATGCATTTTACATGTTCACCTTTTAATGATGTTCTCACAAATGTGAATTCTTTAGTAGATTTAAAAAATAAAAAAATTGTTTTTGTTAAAATGTTGATTAAAACACTAGGAGAAGGTACAAGATGGCTGAAAATAATTTTTTTAGAAGATTTTTAAATAATTTTGTAAGGAACCCAAGATGTGCTAACAATAAATTATAGTTTACAACAAAATATTTGAACAATTCATTTATCTGAACATTTACTAAAATATTATATTTATATTTACTGTTTGTATTATTATTATTATATTATACTTAACTATGTATAATACTTACTGACACAAAATATTTTTTTTTACTCATTGGTTGAAACCTGTTTATTTACATATATTAATTTTATTTATAGTTTCTTCTAAATGACTTCATTTTACAAAAATACTAAACATTTTGTCCCTTTTAGGTTCTTTTGCTAAATTCTTGTATGTCAATATTCTCACAAAACTAAAACTTGGCTGAGCCACCTCTAAATATTGATCAATTCTGCTCATATTTAGCCAAAATTATTTTTATTTATTGGAACATAACTAGGGGCTCAAACAATGGAAATTTTACACTTTAAAAATAAGAACCACCCTAATATGTATATGTATATGTATATATATATGTATGTATATACATATATATATATATATATATATATATATATATATATATATATATATATATATATATATATATATATATATATATATATATATATATATATATATATATATATAGTTTACTTTTTTTAGAATAAAACATTTGTGTTGCTGTTAAATCAGTTTGATACAATAGCTCGGGCTCGTGCTCAAATGCTCCATATTTTGTATGAGTTAGGAAAGTCAAATCATCAATTTCGATTTCGTTTCAATAAAGTATACTTACGTGATGCTTACACATTTGAAGTAAGTATTTAAAATATGTTGTGGGATAATTTAAAGAAGTCACACCTTTAGATATCTTTCAAATTTCACCTAATAAAATGTCGAATTTAAAAGATATCTGAAGGGTGACTGAAAATCAATAAAATATGAAAAAATGTAAAGTTTGTGCTTTCAAATCCAGTTGGTTGAAAAGTTTTAAAGTTCTGCTTCGGCTAGTTGCATCTGGAATTTCTTTGCAACTAGCCATGGTAAATCTCCATGCGATGGAATTGGTGGCACTGTTAAAAGGTATTTTGCCACTGTTAACTTGAAGTCCAACTATAGGGCAAATACTGCTTGCTCAATCAATGTTTGAAATATTCTAAAAGTCAATCAGTGGGGTTATGTTTGTGTATATCACTGCTGAAGAAATGGAGTTAATACAAAAAAACTTACTGATAATTGCAATTACTGTTTATTTTTTAAATAAGATAGCCTAAAATTCCCTATTTCATTAAAAAAAATTGAATCCATGAAACTTTGGCAACTTTCGTAGATGTTGAAAGTACAATCCATAGTAACAGAACAGAAAAATTGACTGAACATTTTAAAATCAAAAAATAAACATAAAAAAATTGCATTAATTTCTCTTCATTTTTGAATTCAGCAATCTAAAAAATAGTAGAATTTTTTCACTAGAATTTAAATTATTCATTAAAAAGCGCAACTACATAAACTGTTATGGCGGATTTGGTAACTTGCAAACCGTTTGGATTTGAGAGCTCAAGTTTTACATTTTTTTATGTTACGTTAATAGGTAAAAATTTAATTAGTTTAAAAATTTAAAGAAAATCTGAGACTTGATTGTCCTGCTTTTACCCTATTACTCTAGTTAGTATTAGTAGAAATAAGAAAAAATGCAACCTAACAATATCAGCTAAAACAGTTTCATTTACTTTTTTTTGAGCTTTTTTAAAAAAGAAAAGATATTAAAAAATCAAGCCTAAATATGAAAACATCAGGGCAAATAATATTTAGGCAAATAAATTAGGAACAATTTGGGACATTTTTCGGGGTATTTTGCTGCTTGAGCACAAGGAAAGCATCAATATTTTTGGAATTTTTTTTTTGCAATTGCATTTTGTTTATATTTGGCTAATTTAGCTTCTAGTGTATTAGCGTTTTTCATTAATTTTTTGAATGTTTTTATTTTATTGTTTTCTAAATAAACATTGTATATGTATGCCTAAATTTTATTTTATTTTTTTTAAGGACTACAAAATTTTGGATAGTTCAGTTATTAAAATGGTTCCTATGGCAAAAATGAGACGAGAGGTTTGTTATTACATTTAAGTATTGGTTACTAATAAAGATATTTTTAAAAGAATCAGAGAGTTTTGACAAAATCTTAATAAACAGACTGCAAGTTTTAACAGAGTCATAATTAACAGATTGTGAGTCAGTGAATTTTAATTAACAGAGTCTTAATTAACAGAATGTGAAGGGAAGAATTCTCTGATATTAAATAAAAGTGGTATAATTTTCTTGAAAGGTCAATTAAGTCAAAACACATGTTGTTAAAACTTGAAAGAAAATAATGAATTTAAAAATAATGAATTTGAAAATAATGAATTTCATATATTGTTTTAGGATTCAATCTTTATTTCTAAATTTTTGAAATTTTTATACAAACTATATAGTTAGTCTACTACTTTGAAATTTTGAAAAACATATTTTATCAATATTTTTCATGCAAATTCATAAACTTGTATAAATATTATATGGCAGGTTGTAAAGTTACTCTTAAACTAAAAAGTTTAAGCAAGACAAACAACATTTTTTCAAAAGTTCAGGTGAGGCAAACATTATCTTTTAAAAAGTTTAAGCAAGGCAAACATCGGTTTGCAATAGCCACCCATAGTAAATTTTGCTCAGAAGGAATAAATTAGAAGATTGTTAAAACTACTTAATTTGAAACGAAAAAATTTGATCGAAAGACCTGTAAATTTTTTGAAACACAGAGGCACCTATATTTCCTTTTATACGTCAGAATTAACCTTTAGTTTGTTAAAACTAAATTTTTTACATTTTTGCATAAAAAAGTAAGAAGCTGTTTAACTTCTGATTATTAATTTTAAATGTTTTTTTTAAAACTGGACTTTCTTTAGTGTTGTATATTTTTAATGGTAAATTTTTATTACTCTTGATGAGGTTTTATTTGGATATTGAAAGTTGGTTGATATAGGAAGTGAGGTTTTATGTGGATATCGAAAGTTGGTTGATATAGGAAGTGAGGTTTTATGTGGATATCGAAAGTTGGTTGATATAGGAAGTGAGGTTTTATGTGGATATCGAAAGTTGGTTGATATAGGAAGTGAGGTTTTATGTGGATATCGAAAGTTAGTTGATATAGGAAGTGAGGTTTTATGTGGATATCGAAAGTTGGTTGATATAGGAAGTGAGGTTTTATGTGGATATCGAAAGTTGGTTGATATAGGAAGTGAGGTTTTATGTGGATATCGAAAGTTGGTTGATATAGGAAGTGAGGTTTTATGTGGATATCGAAAGTTGGTTGATATAGGAAGTGAGGTTTTATGTGGATATCGAAAAAAAATGTTAGCGAATGGTTAAATTTCATTTAGTAAAAAAATACACTGAATGCTTTCGATTGTTATCTTCTTGAAAAATGAATCCATATGATATTAGAGGGATTAGAAAACTTAACAAATACAAATAATCTTGTATTTTATAACATCTTTCTTAACTTTAAATAAGACAATTGAAGTATTACAAAATATAATAAAAAGTTACCATAAAAGGCTCAAGATCTTTTTTCACCTAGGTTTCCCATGGGAACTTTTTTACAGTGTCTTAATGCTGTAGATGGATTCTCATTAACAATATCTTGCGCAAAATTGAGCAAATTAAAGTTTAGCAGGTTTTAATCATATGACATGCTTGTCATTTGCAATTATTTATTGTTGTTAAGTATGAACTCTAAATAATTAATTGCAATAACGGAAACAATAAAATTTAATTCTATTCCACTTTATTAAAAAATATGGTTTTTTTATTTATAAACTTAAACTTATTTCAGTTATTTATCAATTATGTTTTTAATTATATAAAATACGAATACTATTTAAAAACTTTAAAAAACTACAATTATATTTTTAAATTGAATTTTCTTCTACCAATCATTATTAAAAATTTATTTTAATTATTTTTTAATTATATAAAATACCAATACTATTTAAAAACTTTAATTATATTTTTAAATTAAATTTTCCAATACCAATCATTATTAAAAATAAAGAAATTACTCGAAAATTGTTTCATGCTTTGGAAAACAACTTAATCAAATCAGTTACGGATTTTAATGCTTATAAAGTTACAAGAATCTCTGACATAGACATCAAATTATTTTTAAAACAATTAAACAAAAAATGGAATCAAGTAAACAGACACAAGGATAGATTTGAGTTGCATTACAAAATCTTGGTTAGAAAAAGAACTACAATCAAGGGATGCATGTTTTGAAACAGATAAACTAGACAAGGAGTCAAAACTTGGGCTTGGCTACTTTATCTCATAATTTAGGGATGATGTTTCATTAAAATTAAAGTAATGGACTAAGTAATAATGTTTTTTTACTATTTAATTGTGTTTTAACAAGTGTTTATACTAAATACAATCATCTGATATTTTAATTTAAATTAGTAGTCTACGGAAGACCACCAGGTGCAAATTCCATACCATTCACCCAAGCTTTTGAAAAAAATAAAGAAGAAGAAAAAGAACAAAGAAAGAACAAACATTGCTGTCGAAAGAGAGGAATTATTTTACTCAATTATTTTGAAACTAAAAAAGGAAAAAGGGTTCAGCATACATTATCATCTATACTGTAGTCATTTTTATTTGATCTTGTTTATTAAAAAAAATCTCTAAAATACTACGGGTGATAAATTTTCTTAGTGGATTGTATCCATCTCACTCTTCAAATTTACATTTTTACACTTAGGGTTGTGAAGCAAATATTAAAATCAGAAAAAGATAGTGCAGGTTATTCAACAACAATATATACTGGAGAGCAAGCATTAACATTGATTTTAGACTGTGGACTTAGTAAAGCCGATTACCAAACAATTCATATCGGAGCAGTTTCTAAAGGAAACAAATTCTATCCAACTTATAATGAAATAAGGGATGAAAAAGATTTATGCATACCTTGTTGTGGAATACAAACTACTGGTTATTCAGCCTCAGTCGATTTACAAAGTCTTATTGACCATACTACATAAAGGTTGTTAAAAATACTCAATGAATCTGTAAAGGCTCCTGAGAAATCAATTCTTGTCATTATACACAAAGTAGGATTTATCTTTATATACAAAGTAGGAACTCACCAATCGTTATACAAACAAAGTACAGAAGATGAGATGAGTACCAGTTATGTTGAGGAACAATCTTTATTTCTATCCTGCATCGTTCAAATTAAACTTTATATTGAAGTATCTGGCAAATTACTATGGACTAATGAAAAACCATTCTCTACACTTTACTGCAATCCAATAGAATTTCAATATGTAAAAAAAGTGTATTACACATATTACACAAAAATATATTTCCTTCAAGAACAGTAATTTGAAATCAAAAGTCTTTAATTCCTTCATTATCAAACATAAGCTAGAATGCACAATGTTTGATGGAAAAGGGACTACTATAGTTTTGCCTTTTAGTAGTTCTTTTTCAAGTATGTAGCATTTGTGGACTGATCCCTTCAAATATGAACAATCTAAATGTTGCTTTTTTTAAAAATCTCTAATACAGTTTCCACTGAGCTTGGATTGTGCACTTTATATGCATGGATTAGGTGCTTTGAGTGCTGCCTTTATATAAGTTCCAGAATTGAATTAGGAAAGTGGTAAGTTATGGGAGAGGATGCTGAAGAAATTGTTATATAAAAAGATTATTATTTAACAAAAGATGGAAGATCACTTAGGTTTAATTGTAGATGTACCAGAAGGCAATTGTTTAGGTACAACAAATGATGAAAACATTGCAAGAATAGTATTTTGAAATTATAAGGTGTCTGTTGAAATATTTGGCTTGATAAAAATCGATAATTCTTATTGTTTCATCATGCAAACATCAAATTAACACTGATGAACTTGAAAAATATACCATAAAAACAGCAGAGCTATATGTTTCTCTGTACCCATGGTTTCCAATGCCTCAAATTGTACATAAAATTCTAATTTTTAGTTCTCAAGTTGTAAGAGATAAACCAGTATTAGTAGGTCTTCTTTCTGTGGAAGCTCAGGAATGTCAAAATAAAGACGTGAAAAATAACAGAGATCACTATACGAGAAAATATTCAAGAAAAGTCACTAATGAAAATGTTATGCTAAGATTATTGTGCAGTTCAGATTCAATTATTAGCTCTCTAAGAAGGAGTTTGAGTTGTTCAAAAGAAGGAGTTCCAGATTTTAAAAAGAACTTAACAAAGATTGTATTAAATTTTTAATGTAACTTTTTTTTAATTTTATTTTCTGATAAAATAAATGTTTCTTTGTTTATAAAAGCGGGGCTAACACGTAACAAACATTTTAATTAATTAATGCTTCAAATCTGGGAAAAACTGTTTCTAAAAATAATTAAATATTATGTCTAAAATCCCTAATACACTCTTTTAATCCATATACACCTTTTTTTTTAAGGGTGTTTAGGGTGCCTGCATTTGTAAAAATAAGACAATTATTTTTTTAAAAAAAAGGTCTTCATGATAACTAGAGTCACTGATAAAAATTTCAATTTGACAACTTTAAAAATAGTTATGATTATTTGTCCATTTAATGTGTCGATCTTGTCAATTACTTGAGTAAGATAGTGATTGATTAAATATTGATTAGAATGATTTGGCTTCCCCAATCACAAGATCTTTCTCTTGTCGATTATTTATGGGATGAACTAAAAATAAATGTAATAAAATTAATTCTTATTAATACCATGAATATGTGATCACTAAGGATATGGTGCAATGGATGGTGCAATAGATATGTAAAAATATTTTATAATGAGTAAATAAATCAAAAATAAATTATAAATGAGAGTAAATTATAGATTAATTTAATTTGGTTTTTCTTTTTTCTAATGTAAACTTAATAATAAGATTTAAAATATTAAACTTATTTTTTAGGTAATTTTTATTTTCATTTTTATTTTATTTTTGGTTTTTCTCCCAATAAAACTTTGATAACTTTGAAAAATAAGCATTTGAATAATTATGGACAGTAGTGTATATATATATATATATATATATATATATATATATATATATATATATATATATATATATATATATATATATATATATATATATATATATATGTATATATATATATATACATATATATATATATATATATATATATATATATATATATATATATATATATATATATATATATATATATATATATATATGTATATATATATATATATATATACATATATATATATATATATATATATATATATATATATATATATATATATATATATATATATATATATATATATATATATATATATATATATATATATATATATATATATATATATATGTATATATATATATATATATATATATAATTTATATATATATATACATATATATATATATATACATATATATATATACATATATATATATTTATATGTATATATATATATATATATATATATATATATATATATATATATATATATATATATATATATATATATATATATATATATATATATATATATATATATATATATATATATATATATAAGCCTTGGCAAGAAGCGAAAGTTTTAGCTCTTGCCCTTGCCCTTTTTACTGCTCTTGCAAAAGTATATATTTTTTTAAAAATTTTATTGTGCTCTAAACTGATCCCTTTTCTATAGGTCCTAAATAGCTACGAAAATCTTTTTTTTTATTTTTTAATGACTAGAAGTGATAGATATATATTCTGAGTTTTACGGTTTTGTGCACATGTGTGTTTACATAAAAACAGCGCCATCTAGTATTTCAATATGTTTTAACATGATGTAATAATTGGTATACAAATAATTCCCATAGGGCATTATTAAAGATGATCATCATTCCCTATGAACATAACTAGCGATTGATATAATTCCCATAAGGCCAATGTTATTAGTTGTTATAATTCCCCATGGATTGGTTCACAAATAACTCCATTTAGAATTTTTTTTTTCTAAACGGAGTTATTTGTGAGAAGGAAAAAATTTCTAAATGGAATTATTTGTGCACAAATGAATTCTAATTTGTGCACGAAGAAATTCCAGTGTAAACGGTTATAAAAGCCATAACGGTAAAAAAGAGAGAATAAGGGCTTTATAGATTTTTGATGCAAGTGTAAAATTATTAAAAGTAAAAAATGATGCAAGTGTAAAGTTAAAAAACTGATTACTTCAAAATTCATATAAAAATTCATAGAACAACTAAAAAAAAGATGACGGGACAGAATAAGAAAAACCGGAAAAATACAGAAAGGTTAAGGTATATTTACCTATGGAAGTACCCACTGAGGAATTTACCTCACAGACAGCTTGCATCTAATGGTGAAATTCTAAGATACTATTAATTTATCCTTCTCGAGTCACAGGTTAAATACAAACACTCTTCTACTAATGTTGGTTGCAAATTGAAATCCAAATCCAAGTATCTTGTTTTCAAAAATGGTGTTTGTATAGATCCTGATAATTTTTGCTTGGTAACTAGGATTAAAAAAATTTGGGATAATGCTGCGTTTGGCAAGAAATTTACAATATAAAGACCAAAATCATTAAATTTAATTAAAAATAAAAGAAATTGATTAATTTGTCTTCTCTAAACTGAAACAGCAGCCTTGATAAGCAATCAAAGTTAAAGAAAGATTTTTTCACAGAATCCTATTAGCTTTTTGATATCTTAACTAAGAATTTAAAAAAAGATATTCTTGCTCATAGATTGAGAACAGATGATGCCAAGCTGGAAGATATAAAGTAAGTTCATTAATTAACACTTTTTTTATTAGTGAGATTTTCTTTCCTATTTAAAGTAATTTAAGTAGTAGCAAATTATTTCCTTTAAAATATTTAAGTTTAACTCTTTCCATGGTTTGGTCAACCTCCAAGAAAAACTAGAACAATTATTAATTTATTTATAAATGTCTTAATAGATTTAAATATTTCTTAGTTTTTATGAAGACCAGAAGTTGGATAGAAAAAGACATGGTAACAAAAGTTGATGAAGACTACAGTAGGAGAGTACTGGATGCAAACAGGAGAAAGAACAAGCTAGATAAGTTGAGAGAGAAAGAATTAGAGAGACAGAAAAACTTAAAAGATATTAATGATGTTTTGTTGCCACATGACTCCATGACAGAAGAGATTCAATTCAGCAGTGAAAAAGACAAGTCAAACGAGGACTCTGAAATCAGCGAGGAAGAAGATTTCCTGGGTAACCATTGGAAACGCAGGTATAGTATTATTTTAATAACATAGTTGTAAATTTTACAAGCTAAAGCTGTTTTATTAAAAAGTATATAATTATAAATAGGTAGAAAAGTATTATAAAATGATAACTAAGTACAATTCTGGAGATAAGATAAATCTAGCAGTGAATGTTGAAAAGCTCATTGAATGTACTGCTATTCCAGCAACAAGGTTCAATGTTGGTGTACAACCTCATCTGGCAATTTTAAATGAAGTATTTAAAGCTGGAGGCATAGAAATTAATGATATACCGCTTTCATGAAGCACACTTCATAGAAAAAAGTTTAAATATGTAGAACTTGAAGGAGACTTAGAGTGGATTTCAATAACTAATCTTCTTTAAGATAATTGCTGATGGTTTATTCTTCATTTTGATACCAAACTGTTGGAACAAATTACCACTGAGCTTAACATTGTTCAAAAAATTGTGCAACTTGCAGTCTCAGTGAGTTCTCCGGATGACGATACCATGGAAGACTATCTTTTAGGTCTTGTTCAGTGTCCCTCTTCAAAGGGAGTTGACCAAGCAGAACAATCTTTTAGAATATTGTGGATGTAAAGAACAGATCATTGGTATATGCTGTGATACAAGTGCAAGCAATACAGGCGGAGTCAATGGAGCAGTCCAAATTCTTACAGATATTTTGAAATTACCAATGTTGTGGATAATGTGTAGGAGACACATATATGAAGTACATGTATCTCACTATATGGCTGCTTTTACTGGTGAAAAAACTTCTTTATATTAAGCTAAAGAACAAGTGGCTGAAATCTGTGAGAAAGTTAATTAAGTGAAAAATTTATGTAAATTGGACTGGCAAAGAGATAATCTGAAGATTGGCACCGTTAATCACCGATAATCTGTTCTTCGCACCGTTGCAGAAGAAGCTTATTTTGACTAATACAACTACTGATATGGTATTTTCAAGAAATGATTATGGTATAGCTTGTAAGCTTCCCTCCTTCTTCCTTGGAGCAGAAGTACAAGATTTTAAGTTCCATCAACCTGGTGTCTACCATGAGGCAAGGTTTTTAGCAGATGCAATCTACATCCTGTTTTTATATGACCAAAGATATCAGTATTATCTTGACAGAAAAAGAAGTGCTGTCATTGAAGAATGCAAGTTTGTTCATTGCAATTTGCTATGTTCCATGGTCTTTAAAAAGTTTTTTAGGATTTCTGGCTCCCTAAAATGATTTGAAAGCTATCCAGACAGCCTATGCATTGAGACAAGTCAGTAAGAATATTGGAAATGCTTTGCTTCTCAGCATGGGACGCTATACGTGGTACTTAACTCCGCAAGTCTGTGTTTTGTCTATTAGGGATAAAGAAGTTCCTTCTGAAACAAAGCTAAGAATGCTGTTAGCTCTGATTGAGTTTCAAGAACCAAATGAATTTCAGCGTTGTAAACCATCAAATGTACAAATTGGTGAGACCACAGAGCTACCTGAGTTGATTTCTGAGCAAAGCTTTCTTCTCTTTAAACATTTTAAAATATCAAGAACAAGTATAAAAGATTGGCTCAATAATAATACTTAATACTTTAGATGTTTTTAGCCATCCTCAATTGCTAGATTTTATTGTATGGATCAAAAAACATATCTGTTGTAAATAGTGTCGCAGAAAGAAACATTAAGCTCATTAAAGATTTTATTTCAGTTACTAGAGATGAAGATCACTTTCAAAATGTACTTTTTGTAGTTAAAAAGTCTAGAAAAAACTTGACTAAGAGTATGACTAAAAAGGAGCTTGGGAATTGTTCAAAAAGTTGTGTTTTTGAGAAATGTTTCCCCACAATAAAATCTTAAATTTGCTAATAAATATTAGTTTTCATGTTTGTTTTTTTGTATATTCATATTTATAAATATAAACCATCAAGTTAGATAGTAGAAAACAATTAGAAATGATTTATACGCATCTAATTATTTTGTTTTAATTTTCTAAAACATTAAAAAATTGTGTTTTCTATTAATGTTAAGCCAGCTTAAAAATTAAAACAATAAAACTAAGATTTTACATTCAGCATTTCCTGTCAAAATGAAACCTCCAAATTTTTATTATGACTTATTTAGGTCACAAAGAATGGGAATCAGTAGAGAGCTTTTTCTTTTTTATATAATATATATATATATATATATATATATATATATATATATATATATATATATATATATATATATATATATATATATATATATATATATATATATATATATATATATATATATATATATATTAAATTAGATTCTTACAGACACTAACATTCAAGATGATCATGATGGAAACATAAAAAAAATTGAAAGATTTAAAGATGGTATAATAGATGAAGTTCAACAAGCATTACTTAAAGAAATAACAATATTTAACAGAAGAGAAACACTGCTATCTATATTTAGAGTAAGTTTTTAAATAATAATAATGTTTAATAAAGTAATTGTAAATAAATAAAACTAATGAAGTCAAAAATGCAGTGATAGTTTGGATTATATTGTTTCAGCAATGTCTTTTTTCTTTTCTTTCCATTCCTTACGCAGTGCTGCAACTTTTATGCATAGTTGCACTTCCCATAAAAGTTTTTATAGTTCCATACATTCCAAAGTCCTATTATGATCATCTATTGTTGAGTGACAACTTTTTAAAATTCATTTCCTGATTGGGTGATTACTAAATTGGTCAAAGTATTTGACCAATTTAGTAATCACTCAATCAGGAAATGACTGTTAAAAAGTTGTCACTTAACAATAGATGATTAGCATTAGACAATGCTAACCTAATTGTGAGCTTAAAAGTTTCTGAAATTGGCAATTTTTTGACAACTTTTTATTTTGTTATAGTGAAACCTTTGTGTTTTGAGCCAACTTGATTCTTACTAAAAATAGTATTTGATTGTTTATTATTATATACCTTATTTTTTCTAATTCCATATACAAATAAGTGCCAAGTTTTCATAAAATTTTATAAAGCTAGATATTTAAAATTATTTTTATATCTTCTTACTTTTTTTTAAAATCTTTCATTATATATAGGATAAAGAACTAGTTCTCAGTGTTTCACAGGATGTGCATTATATGACCACACAAAAAATACTTTGTTTTGACAATTTGACCATGGCTTATAACATATTTTCAAAATTTGAAAGTGCGCTAAAAAAACTTAAATTTATCTTAAAAAAAACTTTACTTTGAAAAAGAAAAAAAAATCTTAACGAAAAATAAAATAAAAAATAACTTAACTAAAGCTAAAACACCAAATATATATATATATATATATATATATATATACATATATATATATATATATATATAATATATATATATATATATATATATATATATATATATATATATATATATATATACATATATATATATATATATATATATATATATATATATATATTTATATATATGTTGCGTCACTGAACTAAAAGATATTAGCATTTTAAATAATAGTGTTTTTAGGAAGTTAAAATATCATCTAAATGTTCAGATTTCATTGTGAAATTTGTAGCACATATTTTGTCATAAGTCTAATAAATATAACAGGTTTTTAATTACACATTATTGCTCCAGCTCTAATCAACGTTTTCTATTACTCTATGAGATATGTATTACAGTAATTATCTACATTTTCCATTATTATATGATGTAGGTTTTTACACCTTTTATGTTTTCTTGTTGACTAATGAAAAGAATTAATGTTTGCTTTCTCCATATATTAAATAGTTTTTGTATTTAACAGTTTTATACTTGAAAATGATTATTGTATAGTTGAAACACGTTGTTAAGATATATATATATATATATATATATATATATATATATATATATATATATATATATATACACATTAAACATATAATTAAGATATATATATATATATCTTAATTACATGTTGTAATTAATATATATATATATATATATATATATATATATATATATATATATATATATATATATATATATATATATATATATATATATATATATATATATATATATATATATATATATATATATATATATTATTGAAAACGCTATAATAGAACACAATATACTTTTAATTATTGTTTAAAAAATACTCAATAAATTATAGTGTTTTTTTTACTAATTTAAAAATATCAGTTTCCATGTAAATATAAACTAATATATAATTACCTATTAAAAAGCATTTCATTCTTTGTTTTTACATTTGTACTTTATTTTTTTGTTTTAAATTTGCTTCAAAAGATTAATATTCAACATAAAAAATACATAATTATATAAATAAAAAAAACAGTATATTAATTTTTATTTTTTTTTCATTTATTATTTATTTGTCATTAAAAAAAAAGAGTACAATGCCGTGTGATATAAATAAAATATACATGACTGGGGCTAAAAGAAGACAATATTTGCCTTATCACTTCACCCCAACTTGCTTTCATCAGAAACCGTGTACAGGTTTGGTCAGGAAGCGGGTGCGATTGTACTCAATAACTGACCACTGAAATAATATTTAGTTGCAAAAAACCGGCCAGATTTTTTAGTCCTTTTGAGAACATTTCGTTTATGTATGTTTCCTTATTTGTCTGCAAAATAATATTCAAGTTCATAAATTTTAAAATATTTTGTTTTACGGACATACATGGAAACATACATAAACTCGAATGTTCTTAAACATCTTTGTGCAGAAAAAATATATATATATTTTTGCGAACAGAAAAAACCCACCAAATCTACGAACAACTAATTCTATTGGTTCAATAAATACTAACCGAATGTTCTAGAGTATTCTGTGAAATATTTTTAATAGTTGTATTATTTGAGTTTTGTTATGTTTTCACTGAGACTTCTAGCATAAATTGTTTTAAGAATATACTATCAATCGAACTATTATATTAATTCTTGGAGCCACATCTATAAAGTTATAAATGTTTTAAACTAACATTATTTGTTTACAAAAATAAATGTTTTAAATTTATATTTTTTAACTTGTCAATGTTTTGTAAATACATTATAGATTTTATTAGTATATTCTTATTTTTTGTATATAAGGGATGTATTTTTTATGTATGTAATGTATTTTTATTTAAGTAATGTATTGTTATGTAATTTATTGTTATGTATGTAATGTATTGTTATGTATGTAATGTATTTCATGTATTTTTATTTTATGCGTGTAATGTATTTTAATGTATGTATTTTTTATGTATGTTATTTTATGTATGTGTATTTTATTCAAATGTAATCTTTTAAAGCAATTTGTGCAATTAGTTTTGTAAACAAAAATACTTTAATAATATCTGCATTTTCAATGAAATTATTAGTAATCATCAAAGTTAATACAAATAATTTTAACCACTAATCCATTTTCTTCAGTGTACTCAATAACTGATTCTTTCCCCCAAGAAAGAAAAGTTTTTAAGTTCTTAGAAATTGGTTTACTAACTTTAATTATTTTTGCTTCAGCCATTTTTACAAACTCGTTATACTTAAACTCAAAGTTACTTTTTTTCTGTTTTACATACTAATTCAAATTATAAAGCCCACTCACTAAACATCATCAGCGGTATTGTGAAGCAGTTCCGCTTCCTTCTCACAAAGTAATTTAACATTTTTAGTTAATTTCTATCTAGCTAATTGAATTTCTACAGTAAATCAATGATTTAATTATTTCATTTGTTCATCTTACTAAGAAGAATTGTTTCAAATGTGTTAAACTTTTCAAACTACGGGAAGCATAAAATAGTTTTTGAAAACTTTTGTATTTATAAATAAATCATCTAGTGTTAGTTTTATTGGTTGAATCTTGTTGGACTTTTCAGGGCCAGGGGCCGCATTATTTTGGTGGTCTTTTTTATGTGCCACAGCATAAAAATGACTAAAAAAAATACTGAATGGATCTCTTGACTATTCCGTGGCCCCTAACATTGTGAGTCCTGGGCTACAGCTTTTCTATCCCCCCCCTCCTCCTCAATCTAGCACTAGAAATAAGATATAAGTATATAAATAAAAGTTATATATACTCTAAACAAATGTTCTTTGATAAATCAAAGAACATTTGTTTCCTTACTAAACAATCATTAATAGTAAGTTGTTACTTTATATAAAAAATGTCTCTTAATTTTATAAAAAAAAATTATAAAAGAGCAACGTTTCAAAAATATTTGCTCTAATCGTATTTATTTTGCTTAAAGTTTTTTTTGGGTTTAAAGTTTTCTTTTTTTAACTGTCTCTCATCGGTCCAGTTAATCTTATTGCTCTTTTTTGTTTGTTTTTGAAATGTTCTCAAAACGACTAAAAAATCTGGCCGGTTTTTTGCTACTAAATATTTTTGTGGTCAATTATCGAGTGCAATTGCACCCGCTTCCCAACCAAGCCTGGTGTATAACCATTAACCCGTTAACAGTCCATGCGGTAATATTACAAAAACTAAAAGTGGTTTCTAAATAAAAAGTTTTTGTTTGAGTTTTTGTTTAAATAGAGAAAGTGAAGAACAATTTTTCAGCTGGTTATTTAAAAAAAAGTTCCATAATTTAGGACCTCTGATAACAATAGAAAATTTAGTAACCAAATAGTCTATTTTAGGTTGCTTGTAATTGTAATTTGAAAATCTTGTAGGGTACACGTGATTAATTTTATTGAAAAGTGTATTTAATGTTATAGGAGTTTTTATATATACATTGTTATATAAACTATTTGCATAGTTTATATAACAATGTATGAGGGAGAAATATAAGATTTTTAAGCAGTTTTGGTTTAAGATTTGCTTAGCTTTGTATATTATGCCAATATTTTTCAAAGTTTTATTTTCAATCATTCTTATGTTTTCTCTCCATGTAGGGTTTTCGTCAAGTATCTCTCCTAAAAACTTTAATGATGACTCTAATTATTTTAGAGTTGCCAATGAATAGATCAGGTAGTTTTAATGGAATACTTTCTTTATCGTGAAGTCTATGAAAAAAGTATACTTTGTTTTATTTAAATTTAAGGACAATTTGTTTGCCATAAACCATTCTGCTAGATTTAAAAATTCCTTGTTTACTATTTCAAATAAAAGGTTGACATCTCCATTAGAATAAAATAAATTTGTATCATTTGCAAATAAAACTGAGTTTAAAATATTTGAAAACTTATGGAAATTGTTTACATAAAAAATAAAAGTGGACCCAGAATTGAGCCTTGGGGAACACCGTAAGTAATAATCAATTGTTTGTTGTATAGAATATTATTTATATTTAAAAAAGTCAAAATTCGGTTATACATAATTTGCTCTAAGATTTTGGAGAAGTAAGTAAGAATTGAAATTGGTCTGTAATTTTCAGGATTAAAAATATCTCCTAATTTGAAAATAGGTATGACCCTCACAATTTCCAGTTTCTCCGGATAAATACCTTGTTTTAAAGAGAGATTAAA